CCCATCAGCCACTCCTCGGAAGGAAGGTTGGGCAATCTACTTCCGTAGTGATACTGCCTCGGAAACCCAAGGAGGGGTCACTATGAGTCGAGTCCGACTCAATGACACATAACAACAATATAACAATGGCTAATGTTCGTGAGCATTTCTTCATATGTTTATTGGCCACCTGAACATTCTCTTTGGTGAAGTGTCTGTTCATGTCTCCTGCCCATTTTTTAATTGAATTATTTGCCTTTTTATTGTTGAGGTGTTGGAGTTTTCTATAAATTATAGAGGCAAGTCCCTTGTTAGGGATGTCATTGCCAAATATTATTTCCCAATCTGTAGATTCTGTTTTGACCTTTTTGGAGAAGTCTTTGGAAGCACAGAAAAATTTAGTTTTTAGAAGGTCCCATTCATCTAATTTCTCCTCTGGTGTTTGTATATTTTGGGTTATGCTAGATAGTCTATGACATATATTAAAAACAAAGAAACAAACAAAAACCACTGCCGTCGAGTCATATCCAACTCATAGCAACCCCTCCTTGGGTTTCCGAGGTGGTATCACTGTGGACGTAGATTGTCCAACCTTCCTTCCAAGGAGTGGCTGGTGGATTTGAACCACCAGCCTTCTGGTTAGCAGTCAAATGCCTTAGGCAGTATGCTACCAGAGCTCCTATGCCCCTAAATTTCCCCTAGTTATTCCTTGAGGAACTTTATAGTTTTAGGTTTCACATTTAAATCTTTGATCCATCTAGAGTTAGTTTTTGTGTGTGATGTGAGGTACAGATCTTGTTTCATTTTTCTGCAAATGACTATCCAGGTTTGCCAGTACCATTTATTAAACAGACAATCTCTCCCCCATTTAATGGATTTCGGCCATTTGTCAAAGATCAGCTGACCATAGGCCAATGGATCTTTTTCTGGGTTCTCAATTCTATTCCATTGTTCTATGGATCTATTTCTGGGTTCTCAATTCTATTACAATGGTCTATGGATCTATTTCTTAGTTCTCAATTCTATTGCACTGGTCTATGTGTCTGTCATTGTACCAAACCAGGCAGTTTTAAATACTGTGGCTCTATAGTAGGTTTTGAGATCCAGCAGTGTGAGTCCTCCTACTTGGTTGTTCTTCTTCAGTAGTGCTTTGCTTCTCCGAGGTCTCTTTCCTTTCCATATAAAGTTAGTGATTGGTTTTTCCATATCCTTAAAGAATGTTGATGGGATCTGGATTGGGATTGCATTGAATGTATAGACTGCTTTGGGTAGAATTGACATTTTCACAATGTTCAATCTTCTTGTCCACGAGCATGGGATGTTCTTCCATTTATGTAGATCTCTTATGGTTTATTGAAGT